ATTTAGGGTACTGTATTAGGGTCACCCATTTTCGGAAACACCCATATTACAGATGGAGACTTAGAGCTTATTTAGGTTCCTTGTAATAAGGATCCTACGATTTGAGGTCCCCTATTTTCGGAACACCCATAGTGTTTGGTTCCGGATTCGGCTTTAAGTGCTAGCCGTCTTTGCGTGGGCAGCGGCTCGCAAGCTGGTGCGTGTCAATGACATGCACAAAGTTGAAGAGGCCAAGCTGGTGTTGGAGGAAACTTTTGCTGTGGTTCACGATACGTGCCTTAAGCTTTGTGGCTTGGGATGTCGAGTGTCCGGATTCACGGCCACTGCGTCAGGATATAAGGTGCAGGGCATAGTAACACTATGCCATAGTACTCCGACGACTGTGAGTGGCGGAATGGCTGTTGCTCTTGCTGCAACATCTATTATGCCCTGCCTTGGTGTGAAAGCAGGCATTGCAGCTGTCCGAGTTCTTTTTGTTTAGGGCTGCGACTATGAATCGATGATGCGTGGCTATCAACCGTGCTACCATGTACTAGCGAAAGGCACGACTCTGACGCACTATAGTCCTTACTCGACTACTACTGTTCCTGCTGCCCTCACTCTCCATTACTACTACTAACACTACCACTGCCACTTCCTTCCTTCCGTGGCGCAAACGTTCGAGAACGTCTTTGCGTGGCTTGTATGGGCAAGTCTTGGACTCGGCCATCAGCTGACAGCTATACCCAGGGCTGCTGCTAGCAGCTTGACAACAATAACTGTTTGGCGTGCATGTCATTGTACCACTGCCACTACCACTACTACTACTGCTACTAGTACTCGTACCACTACTACCACTACCACTACCACCACCCGGCACTGCCACAACCAGTAATACTTCCACTACCACTACCAGTGTCACTGCCACTGCCACTACTGCCTGCCACTACTGCCACTGCCACTGCCACTGCCATTGCTGCTGCTACTACTACGACTACTACTACTACTACTACTACTACTACTACTACTACTACTACTACTACTACTACTACTACTACTACTAGTACTCGCGAGAATGAATAGAATACCAATAATAATAGTACCAAAAACAATAATAACAACAATAATAATAACAACAATAATAATACCAATAATAATAATAACAACAACAACAACAACAATAATCATAATGATAATAATAATAATACCAATCATAATAGTAATAATAACAATAATAGTAACAGCGCAGGGAGCAGGAGAGGAGCTACCACCGCCACCAATGTCAGGCGTCGGCCTCGACGGTGCCAAGATGGCTTCATTCACCAACCCAGGCAGGGTTTAGTTTAGGGTTTAGGGTTTAGGGCTTTAAGGGTTTGGGGTTTAGGGTTTAGGGTTTAGGGTTTAGTTTAGGGTTTAGGGTTTAGGGTGTGGTGATGCGGCTTCATAAATAAAAGTCGTATGGAGGGCTAGTAAGGTTTGAAGAGGGCTGTCTAGGGGGTCTTGACGGCGTGTATTTAGGCATTTCAGGGGTATCTCATGCTGGAAACGTCGGGTTCTTCTAAGGTCTTCACATAAACGCCACTTCGGGTGGCAATTGGGTGCCTGTGGGCTGGCTATTCAATGCCAAGTTGGCATGCCGATGAAGCACTGTGTCGGATCTTGCTGAATACCGGGCCCGTAACCGCAAGTCCATGTTGCGCAACTCCTAATCTCCACAAGCTAAACCACTAGGCAAGGGAATCGTTGGATCTGGACGGTCCATAGGGCAAAGCCACATGTTAATTAAGATAGCAACTTCCTTTAGAATCGGAAAAAGAAATATCAGCTGCCAAGTTCAGAAGAAGTTATTTAAAGCTTATATCCGAAAAAGCAAGTTCAACTAAAATGGTCACATGACCCGAAGCTCTGAACCCGGAGCCGCAAAAGCAAAGCACAAAACCCACTACGTAATCATTCATGCAGTCATCCCGAGCTCTACCTATAGTCTCCATTGTAGTGCCTTTTTGAGGTTACCTTTTAGGATCCTTATTATAGAATTGGTTATACCAAAAAAGGACCTACAATGGAGGCTATAGGGAAGCCCGCGAGCATGATCGGAAAGTAAGATCATCCCAATCCGAAGCCCTGGACCGAAAACCCAAAAAACGAGCGACTAGGTGATGAAGTCTTCCGGTGCACAGAGACCTCAAATCCCGAGCTGTAGACGGAAAAGCCCAGCAACCACAGAAGGATTCATCCCAAGCTCTAAACTCTGAGCCGTAAACTGAGAAACACAACAAGACAAGCAGATGCTGATTGCAGGGCCACTGGAAGTCCTTGTCCGCAAGCAGACCGAGGGTGAGGCTGGAGGGGTATTCTATAGCGGCCTTAACAATTACCAATACTTTGTTTTGTGTTTTTTGAGGGGGGGTTTCGTTATTACAGTTATAGTATAATGGCTTGCTTGGGTACGGAGGCGACTTAGTGACTATACGGCTCTGCGTACGAGTTTACGCGGATGCTTGTGCTTTTGTTGTTTGGCTGTGGTTCCGATATGGGAGTTTCCGAAAACAGGGGACCCTAATATAGTACCCCAAATAGTAGTAGCCTTATTACAAGGACGCCAAAACAAGGTACCCCTAATTTTCGGAAACTCCCATATAGAGGAGTTGTGGATCGATTTCGTCTTCAATCGCCGGAACAGTCTCCGGCTGGTCTTGGCGCAAAGGTCATGACAGCAGTTTTGATTACAAGCTCCACTAAACAAAGAGTACAAGGGGAATAGCGTATTGTGAACAACATTTCTTCGACATCGAAGACTTCGAGTATGCAAGCAGTACTTAGGAGGAAGGAATCTCCTGAGACACCTTTTTGCGGGTTTCATGGTTTAGGGTTTTGGACGTGAGCCTTCGGAGCCAAATAGGAAGGCAAGACTATGCAGCACGGTCATGTTTTTGGCAACAGAGGATAGCATGCCGCTGGAAGAAATCATTGTTCCGTCTTTCATCTAGTGTGCCCTACACTAAGCCCTTCTTCTACCCCTTAACAGTATCAGTAACCCTGAATACCCTCTTAAAGGAACCTTTTAAGGGGACCCCTATGGTCGGTGCATCGTCATTCTGCAGACGCTCAACAACCCCCAAAACCCCTGAGTAGCTATATCGTAGACAGTAGGGTTTCTATAGTAGGTAGTATTCTTATGGTTGGGGCAAGTATCCCCCATGTACCTGTAGTCGCCACAGTAGTTCCTGTTTTATGGTTTATATAACCAATTTTATATTAAGGATCCGAAAAGGTAATCCCAAAAAGGAACTACAATGGAGACTATAGGTAGGTGCTTAGGCCCCTTTGGGTACTTGGAGGCCCAGGGGACTGAGTAAGTAGGTTGTAAGTAGGGTCATAATTGGGGTAACTTCATTTAGGGTACTTATATATAACTTATAACCCTACTTATAACCTACTTACTAGGTCCCCTGGGCCTCTAAGTAGGTCACCAAGTTGGAGTTGAAGATGGGTCGTGGATCGATCCGCAGAACACATGGCCTGCTGCAAAATCAGCTTCCGGGTTATAAGCGCTTCATCGCTAGGTCTATTGTGTACTGTTTAGGGTTTAGGTTTACCCTAAACCCTAAAGTACAATTTAGGGTTTAGAGTTTAGGCTTTCCCTAAACCCTAAATCCTGTCAACCCTAATCTAGAACGCTTCTTTGGGTTGCATTTCCAAAGAGCTTCTAGAAGGCTTCGAGCATGCACGCTCCCATTTCCATGCTGCGATTGGATTTCTCTCCGCAGCATTGCTTCCGGCCCCAGCTTTCTCCTCCAACCGGTCGTAGACACCCCAAAGACCCTACCGAAGCTTGCATGTCTGGCTATCGTCAAGAGAGGCCGCTGCCAGGCACTGCCAGGAATGTTCGCCGAGATGAGATGCAAATGGAACCTTAGATCCCCCCAGCGTTTAGGGTTTAGGCTTTGTTTGGGGTCCTTATAAGAATATAATAAGGATCCTACTATTTGGGGTACTATATTAGGAAGTATAGTGAAGTCTTAGATCCCCAATACCCAACCTTTTTTCTCTTTGGGTTCTTAGAGTTTACTAGGAATCGGAAAGTTTAAGCCTTTAGTTCCGTAGCTTGTTGGGGTAGTAAGCCCTAGATAGTCCCAAAAGCCCGACGCCTAAACTTTCAGAACCAGTAAGGAACCGGCAAATCAGATGAAGCCGGTTGTGCGATCCGTCACAAGCACGGGGCCAAGAGGTCGTATCCCTCAGCAGAGCCCAGTCACCGCATTTCTACGTGAGATTGGCTTGGGACACTTAGTAGCTGAATGAGTGCATTTTGTACTTTTCACCCAGATGCTTTTAGCCCCTATAGAGCCGAACATGTACACTTTCTGGGGCTTATGAACCCCGCAACTAAGGACAATATGCCCAAGCGTTGCGGACCCATGGTTTTGAAGACCTCGAGACGCTCATGGCGATGCGTGAGGAGCACATGCGCGAAGTGGGAATGGCAACGGGGCACATTGTGAAGCTGAAACGTCACTTCGCAGACCCAGTGACATTTAATGCTTTTTTGGAGGGTATTATTTCGAAACATGACCCCAAAGCTGATGCTTTGTTGGAAGCGTCACTTCGCAGACCCAGGGGTTTAAAGTTTAGGGTAGACTCAGTGACCTTCTTAATGTTTTTGGAGGGTACTATGAATTACCCTATATGATCCCAAAGGTGATGCTTCATAGGAAGCGTCACTTTGTAGACTTAGTGACCTTTAATGTTTTTGGAGGGTATGATTAATTACCCTATATGATCCCAAAAGTGAAGCTTCATAGGTCCCTTTGCCCCAGCCCCCCAGGTCAAGTATGTAATTTGTACCTACTTTGGCGTCACAAGGCACTACGATACCCTAAAGCCTATATGGGTGGTTGTCAAAATGATGGCCCCTTTTGGGGCCCGTATTATCGTACGGCACCTATCATTTAGGGTACCCAAAAAGGGACCCATAAATTTGACAACTACCCATATGACACCATACAACAACTCCAGGTCCCAAAACTAAACCTTAAACCCTTGGATTGTTGCAGAACCCTTACAGGATCTCTTAAAGGAGCCCTTATGGTTCCTCCGAAACCCCTCGGACCCGAGAAGTACTAGAGGCCAAGGTAATTTCCAATATTATTCCTTACCCTAGGGATCTAAGGACTCGTATTTTCAGGGTTTTGGACCCAAAGATCATACTATATGCGGCTTTTGGGCTGTTTTGATAGCCAGGGTTATAGGGTTCCTCATTATAGTTCTACTTTGAACGAGCCCAAGACCCTATTGTAATCATTAGGGCCCCTATACAGTTGGAGACCCCATAGCCTCAATCCTTAAGAGTAATGTATCGGGAATCCCAGCACTATTTGAGCCTTAATCCGGTTTCCGACTTTACTATATTAAGGTCATTTGTGTGACTGCGAGCCCAATCACTTCTTGGCCACGGCCTCCCCGCTTCGGTCGCTTGGCAGCAGGTGAGGGTTGGGCCCGATATGGGAGTTTCCGAAAATTAGGGGTACCTTAGGGTTCCTTTAAAGGGTTACCATAAGGGTACTACAAGGGTTCCTTTTAAGGGGCTCTGTAGGGGTTAAGAGTTTCAGAAAATAAGGGGTACCTTATTTTGGGGTCCTTACAATAAGGATCCTACTATTTAGGGTGCTATATTAGGGTCCCCCAATTTCGGAAACTCCCACATACCGTAGAAATCTGTATACAATATAATACAACAGAATAGACATATACATAAGTAGCGGTTCCTGTTAATTGTTCGACGAGGGGTTTTGGGGTTCAGGGTTTGTCGGGTTGGGTTGTGCGGTTTGTTGTTTAGGGTTGAGGCTTTATGCTTCCCAATCAGCTGGATGGCAAGTAACATGTTGACCTCTTTCGTTGTTTTGGGAGGGAGGGCGTAGATTTGTTGATGTTCTTTAGGTCCTTAAAGCGATTTCTCTTAGCATTTGAGTAGGTCACCGTAGAACAGCTTGTAAGGCTACTTTCATCTTGCCACAATTCAACAGCAGGTTACTATAGAAGCATAAAGAAAGACCCAACACTACCTCTAGGGTTCCTTCTTCTATATTATACTACAAAGGAGCCGTAGTCCCTATTGGAATCATTAGGGCCCTTGCTATAAAGGTCTGTTTGTGTCAGTGTACTAAGACCCTAAGGGCAAGCATCGGCGGACCGCGAAAAATCGATTCGTCTTTGGTGGCCATGACGGCAGTTCAGCGAAGCTGGCAGCAAGTGAAGGAGCTGGGAACAGATGTTGCCGGTGGCTTGTTCTACAAGAAGTTCTTTGACGTGGAGCCTTCGGCCAAGGCTTTGTTTCCCATGTCTGTGCGCTTGCGCTACAAGAATTGGGATTCAGACCAGCAAGAGACGGATGACATGTCGGAATCTCCAGCGTTGCGGAGGCTTTGGGGACGATTCATTGAGGTGATTGGCAGTGCAGTTGCTGGACTCCAAGACACGGCAGCTAGGCTGTTCAGTGAGAGATGCTGTGTTACTTCTTTGTCCCTGGGTTCCTAGTATGGTAGCAGTTAAGTGATGTACATGCATGTTGTGCTAATTGTTTGTCTCTGGGTTCCTAGTATGGTAGCAGTTAATGCACGTTTACTCGTTGGTTTCTGCGTTGCTGAGGCGAAGATGGTTCCCATGTTGCGAGAGCTTGGGATGCGCCATGTTGGATACGGCCTGAAGGCGGAATCCGGGTGCTTTATCAGGTTTGGGGTTTAGGGTGTATTATTTCCAAACACTACTTGCGTTGGGGTCTAAAATCTAAACATGGTACCTATTTCGGGTTATTCGGAGGCTTCAGGTTACATATCACGGTTACATATCACTATATCATCCCTCCCCTCCCTCCCCAGGACCCTATTCTAAATACAGGGCCCAAAGTGGTATCTGTTTTTTACCCCCTCAACCATAAAACCTAAAACCCTAAAACCAAAAACCCCAACCCCCTAAGACAAAAAAACCTTAAACCCTAAGCCCTTAATCCTGCGCCCCTAAACCCTAAAACATTAAACCCAAACAACCTACCCCTAAGGGTCCATGTACCCATATAAAGATACATGGGCCCCAAAGTACCTATATAGGGACTACATTAAGGCCAATGTATCTAGTATATGAGTACATGGACCCTTAGGGTACAGCCTTTCAACCCTAAGCGGCCCTAAAGCCTAAACGGCCTTCTGACTTGCGGACGTCTGCAGCTGGAAAAAGGAGCTCAAAAACAAAAACAGACCTTAACACCTAAGTTAGAGCCCTAAACCCTAAACCCTAAACCCTAAACCTTACAAAACCTAAACCCTAAACCCTAAACCCTAAACCTTAAACACCTAAGTCCGAGCCGAAGGCTGAGTACTTCGACCTGGCCGGCGCAATTCTGCTGGAAATTCTGGCGGACTGGCTCGGCGAGAGCTACTGAGTAGCACATGAAACCTACGCTTTTAGGGTTTAGGACTTATAGTTAGGGTTTAGGATTCCTTTAGGCCTTAGGGTGTATTTTTTAGAACTTCTTAGTAGTATACATCTTTATGGATTTAGAGCTCATCCCAATGTTTAGCCTTTCACGTGCTTTTCCGGGCCGCCGGAAGAAGTAAGGCTTCAACAAGGAAGTGGAGAATGCCTGGGTCATGGTCTCCGGCTTTGTAATCGCCACGATTGCCTCGGGCTACAACAGCGCCCTGGAGGGGATCCGGGCCAAGGAGTCCGAGCTTCGTTCCTTATCCAACAATTCCATGGAGTTTCTGGGCTTTTCGGAGCACCTTCCCTTTTTTTTTCCTCTTGTTTTTTGGACTTGTTCCTTGTCTGAGCAGCCATTCTGAAACATAAGCTTTGGATTTGTTCTTCCTGGTTACCCTACACCCTAAACCCTGAACCTGGTTACTTCAAAGTCCAGGCCCGCGACCCCGTGTTCCGCGGCTGAAGGGTCGATCCGTCTGCCCAGCGAAGCCGGGAGCACGCACTTGGGAGGATCCGCTCATACCCCTACGGCCATTCAGAGTGGCCGCTTGCATGAGCCGGGCTCTGCGAATGACATGTTTGCGGTCAAGGAGGCACCTCCGAAGAACATGTACCCTCCTCGCCTGAAGATGCTCGTCGATGGTTCTTCGGGTGGTTGCTACGGCATTGAATGGGTGCTTGCTCCAAGTGGACGCCTCGTCCCTTAGGGGTACTTGTATTTTTTTGTTTTTTGGATCCTTTAATTCTTAAGAAACAGCTAGAACTATAACTCTTTGCTACCCTAAACCCTAAACACTAAACCTTATGAACCCTAAGCCCTAGAAGCTCAGTATAGGTCCACAACAGCGCCTATGAGCCGCAGTGGCGCCTGGATGCTCCCGGCTCGAAAGGCGCCTTCGCCGCGCGCTCCGTCACCTACACCTTCATGCCAGGTCAGGGCGCCGTCGGCGAAGCTTCGGGGCGTGCTCTTAAGGAACTTAAAGTTATCATAAGTTGTACTTAAGAAAGAAACCCCACTAAATGGTAAATTAAAGTTACGAAGATAGTAAGGAGACCCTGTTTATTTGCTGTATATCAACCTTCGGCTCATATGGTAACTTGAATGAAAGGTTCCTTACCACCCAGACCTTCCAAAACCCCTTAATTAAGGAATATACCTTAAATCATATTAGGGACACTATTATAATTTAAGGTATATTCCTTAATTAAGGGATTTTGGAAGGTCTGGGCAGCAACCCAGGCTTTCGCGCGGAAGGAACTCCTTTTCCTTCAGGAAGTCCAACGGCTGAATCGGCATTTGTCTACTCCGTTCCAAAGGGCAGACTTGGCCAAGGACTGTCTGGTTCTTAGTAACTAGGGAATATGCCTTAAATTACAGAGGTTTATAAGGGATCTATAAGGGTGGTATATAGGGGCCTTCGTATTTGGAATAGGGTCTTGGGGCCCTTGACACTCTAAGCATAATAAGGAACCCCCAAAATAGTATGGGTAATTGGCCAAGGACTGTCTGGTTCTCAATAGGGACACCCTAAACCTTACCTAGACTGTCTGGTTCAATAAGGCTTCCTCTAAAGGGATCTATAGGCTGTTTAGGGGTTTAGGGTTTAGGGCTTCAGGAATTTGACTGTCTGGTTCTTAGTAGCGAATGGGGGAATGGATTCTGGAGACTATTATTGGAGACTCAAAAGGGACTGGAGAGATCCATTCTCCCATTCCCTACTGGGAGGCCCAGGGGACTGAGTAAGTAGGTTTAGAATTGGGGTAACTCCATTCAGGGTACTTATAACCCTACTTATAACCTACCCAAAGGCTCCAAAGTAGTTCCTTTTGGGATCACCTAATAGGATTCTATATATGAACCCCCAAAAGGAACTACTTTTGTGCCTTACTGTAGGGTACTTACTAAGTCCCCTGGGCCTCTAAGTAAGACCCTTAGAACCCTATAGTACCCTTAAAGGGAACCCTAAACTAAGTCCTACTTACTAAGTCCCCGGGGCCTCTAAGTACCAAGCACCAGACAGAGGAGTACGGCATCAACTCGATCCTCTTTGTTCCCACTGCCGACGGGGTCTTGGAGACTTGGATGCGGATATGACAATGCCTTCCACTTCGGAAGTATGCCGTAACCATGAGCCTTAAGACTCCAAAAAGCCCCAAGCAGGTACCAGATGTATAAATCTGCAAAGTATTGGGAGTAGGATAATGTCTTGGAGTCTCAGGGAATCCCTGCACTATCTTGGCAGTTTCTCCCAAGGGTCCAAGTTCTTCTCCCAAATCCAAGCATTGACGTGTAATCCTAAGCTCAGTTTGAATACCTAATTGTCAGGTCCTGTGAACCCTTAACCCCTTAACAGCTATGGGGCTCTACACATGCCAAATCGAAGCCATGTAAGAGCCCCCAAACCCGACTGAAGGGGTCCTCTTGGGCCCTGAGGGTTTATCGAAGTTCAGCTGTTTACGCCTTGCTTAGGAGATCGGTTCGACCAAAAAGTTCGCAAACAGCGAAGACTTCCTCCCTCCGGATCTCCTCACGGATTCTCCCTGATCTGAGCACAGAGTCGTGCATGCAAGGGTACTACAAAGGCTAGGGTTGAGGGTTTAGGTTTTGGAAACGTACTACGAGGCGATGTGGTGGCTATCGAGGGTTCTACTAGTGTAAGGTTGCTAGAAGGGTGCTTCGTTGCAAGCAAGGGCAGACTCGGGGGTACGTACTATAAAGGCACTTACTCAGGGCTGGCATAAGATTATTATATGAAAATGCCATTATAATACATAATCACGTACTTAGGGGCACTATAAGGGCATTATAACGGTTACCAGAAGAGGTACTATGGGGCTGTAGGGGTATATTCAACCTTAAACTCTTTAAACCCTAATCCCCAAACCCTAAATCCCCTAAACCCTAAACCGTATAGTACCCTTACTTTACAATAAGGGACCTACTATGGGGCTATAGGGGTATATTCAACCTTAAACCCTAAATACTAAACCCTAATCCCCAAACCCTAAATCCCCTAAACCCTAAACCGTATAGTACCCTTACTCTACAATGAGGGACATACTATGGGGCTATAGGGGTTCTCTACGATCTGAGCAGAGAGTCGACAGCCTGGTGAGCCAAAAGGGCCACCCAATTCCATCGGTTGCAGAATCCCAGGGGCTCCAATTAATTAGAATAGGGGTTCCTTGAATTAAAGGGGTCTATAAGGGCTACTATAAGGGGTCTATATATAGGGGTACTATGACGTAGGGACGTTAATGATAATTGTGGTGTCTACAAACAGTGGGATTCAGGTTAGGGTTTGGGTACCTACTTCGGTGTCTAACGTGTATGTAAGGCACCTTCACAATGGGTTGTAGGTTAGGGTTTGGGTACCTAATTCAGTGTCTAGCGTCTATGTATGGCAGCTTCACAGTGGGTTTTAGGTTAGGGTTTGGGTACATACTTTGGTGTCTATTGTCTATGTTTTGGGACCTTTTTTCGGCGACCTCGAGCCCCAGGGTTTGTGATTTGTTTTTGCATGTTTGCAGGCCTCGGCTGTTAGTCAGATGGAAGATACAGAACCGCGTGATTCGTACAGGGTTTAGGGTTTAGGGTTCAGGTCCAGAAGGGTTAAGAAGGTCTATGTTGCAGCTTCAGAAAGCAGCAGGAGGCCCAGCCCATATAAGGTGCTGAAGCGCGTGCAGTTGATCTCAGGGAGTCCAGCCAGATCAAGACGGCACTTCCCAAAGCCGTCGGCCGCATTGTTCAAATGTCACACGCGCAGTTGGATAGCGGCCAACCTCGAAAACTGTTCCAAGAGGTCTTGGCTGGAGGCCGGATCCTGGTGATTTCTCTGATTTGCTGGTTCTTGAGAGGCGTGCGCGGGAGAAAACCGACTCGAACCCTAAACCCTAAACCCTAAGCCCTAAACACTTGCAAGGCAACCATTGTCCATGCTTCTGTCCTAGTAGGCTTCTGTGCTGATCTGGTCTTACGTACTGTAAAAATGCATAGAACCCTTATAGAAACCGTGTAAAGCACCCGTGTAGGGGCCCTTACAATAACCTATGCTGAATCTGAACTAAAGACCCAAAGCAATGATAATAACCAGCGCAATCATCATTGATAGCGTAAGTATTACATGGTAAGACCAATAGTGCTTACAACGATAATGTTTCTCGTGTAATAGTATGCATGGTCTGCCATGTTGAGGGCTGGATTTACAATACACGAACATAGGACGACCTGCGGGACGAGAACGGTCCGATACAGTACCATCCAGCTCAGTATAGAGTTTTGGGTGACCCGAGCTACTGCCAAAGTTGTGGAGGTCGAGATTTACTAGAGCGCTGGAAGCTTGCGCAGCGTTACTGGAGAGCTTGACAGGCACTCAGGCGTGGGCATGCGTGCTCCGGTTTGTCTTTGGTTCAGAGGTGCAGGAGTTGGTTAGCCTTGTTTGATGTCTACTTCCATACAAGGGCTGCGCAGCCATGTGCCAGACAATGTTTCCGGCTGGAATCATCTTCATCGTGCTGGTGGAATTCTGTGAGCGACTTTGCTACTATACCTTCGCCGGCACTCAGAAAACCTGGTTACAAGATCGCGGCTACAGCAACTCACAATCGAGCTCGATCAATCTCATCTGGGCTGAGGTTCTTGGGCCGCGACTTGGGAGATGTTTTGTTCTTTGCGACAAAATCTCGTCTGAGCAGAAACATATGGGAGTTTCCGAAAATTACGGGTTAGGGTACTATATAGGGTCCCCGCCTGTTTCGGAAACTCCTATATGTTTGTTGGTCGCCGCTCTCGTCTTTGATAACCGGAACCCCCACACGGAAACGCCGGCGAATCCCGGATCTGGACCCAGACGAAAAGCAATACACCCCACTTCGTCCAGGTGTGCTACGTGTGCTGCTTCGTGGGAGGCTGGCTCGCGTCAACGCGCGTTGGGATTCTCGGCCGCACATTGGGAGGTTTTGTTGTTTTGCTTTCCCATGCCAGTGGGGTGGAAACTGTAGGGAGCTGCGAGCAAACTCAGGATTTTCCGAACCATCGCCATACTGTCCCTAGCCTATGCGATCGGTGGCTTGCCTGACAGTGGTGCGGTGGTGTTCCCAAAAAGCCCTATATCTTCGGTACGGGCCCCCACTCAGTAATAGTTGAGTAATATATTCATAATATGGATATATTAGGACCTTAATCGTAACCCTATTATAGACTCTTGCTGGGGGCAGTACCTACCTAGTAGTTCCTTTTTTTGGTTTAACCAATTTTATAAAAAAGGATCCTAAAAGGTAACCCCAAAAAGGAACTACAATGGAGACTATAGGAAAGCTATAACTCCAAGATTCTGAGTCCGATCCTAGCCCATGGGGCCCCAGCCGACAGCTTTTCGGGAACAAGCCCCCTGACTCCCCAAGCTTTAATCCCTGCGGTTTATGGGTTCAGGGTTTAGGGCTTTAGGGCTTTAGGGTTTAGGGGTTTAGGGTTTTAGGGTTTTAGGGTTTAGGGTTTAGGATTTAGTGCTTTCGGGGCTTAGGGGTTTAGGGGTTTAGGGTTGAAGGTTTAGGGGTTTAGGGTTTAGGGTTTTTCGGAGCCTAGCAAACCCAGTCTGACCTCTGGAGTCGGTGTCCCAAGCGGCGCTCGCACAAGTCCCACAAAAGACGCCTTTGCCTTGCATGACCCCATGACCCCCCATGACCCCCCACGACCCCAGGCTCTACCCAGAGTCTCGATTGTAGTTCCTTTTTGGTTTAACCAATTTTATGTTAAGGATCCTAGAAGGTAACCCCTTGCATGACCTATCCTGGGTTTGGAGTACCATACTTGAATACTTGTTTTGATTACCGGTTACTTAAAAGAAATAGTTTCAAAGTCCAGCTATGACCCCCAAGACCCCATTCTCTATAGACCCAACCTTTAAAGGCTTTCTGCATCTCTGAGGCACTTATCTCAGTGCGGTGGCTGCCCTGCCTAACGTGACGGGGGCTGCATAGGGTTTGCAGCAAGGTTTCTGGTTTCAGGCTTAGGGTTTATGGCTTCGGGTTTACAGTTTAAGATTCATGTGGTCTCGGTTTAGGGATATCATTTTCGGGAATCGGGCTGGATGAAAGGCTTTGAAGATTTTGTAACTAGAGGCTCATACCCCACCCCTTTCTTAGGGTACCTACTTTTCTATACAACAGATCCTAACCATAAGACTAGGTATCATGCCCCATCCCTTTTTCTAGGGTACCTAATTTTCATACAACAGATCCTAGCCATAAAGCTAGGTATCCCAAAAAAGGGGTACGGTATGAGCCTCTACACGTAGTGCTTAGGGGTTCAGGTTTTGCTGGTTCAGGGCTGGCCCGTTGCAGCTGGAGATGTCGGCTGCCAAGAATTATTATTTATGCAAACCTATATCTTAGTAGCTGAGGGAGTTCACTTTACACTTTTTGGGATAGTATTACCCACGAAAGAACTAAAAGTGTACGCTTTTTGGGGCTTCTGAACTCAGCAACTAAGACATTAGTGAGATCACCCGGCTTCGTGCACCGACACTTGGCTTCCGTTCTTCCTGTAATAGAACTTCTATGGAGCCCTGGGCGAGAAATGTCTGCGCAAAGGGCTTAGGGCTGACGAAGCACAAACCGAGCAGTGTACTGAGCAACAAAAAGCAACCTCAAAGCGAGACTGGGACATTTCCGTCATGTGCGTTGCAGTGCTCGTGCCAGTCATGCAAGTGACGAAAAGGTAATTAAATTGTAAACCCTACGAGCCCAATAAACCCTTGATCTGAACTGAACCCTTGGTTGTAAACAGCCTACAAACAGTGAGCCGTACCTATTATAAAATCTAAGCCCTGTAAGTGCTATGGCTCCTAAAACGCGAACTCCTAAAACCTAAACCCTAAAAGCCCTCTAAGCTTAAGGTGAACCGTAGAACCCTTCAGTTAATCCCCATAAACCCTATACCATGCAAGCTTTAAGGTGAACAGCGTTCCCTTCTACTTGGTCGGGACATTTGGACTGGTTGCCTTGGGCTCCGGCGGCATCAAGTACCTTGGCTGTCCTCCCTTTGGGGCTTGTCGGCTTTTTTGTTGTTTATAAGATTTCTGTCCGATTATGGCACATAAGTTATAAGGCTTTGGGTCTAAGGTTCAGGCTCAGGGGTGGAGAGGGGTTTAGGGCTTCAGGGGTTTCAGGGGTTTAGGGTCAAGGGGCAAAGGGCTCAGGGTATCAATGGGCCTTTTCGCGGTGCGGGCAGAAACTTGTGTAACCCTTACCAGGGACAGGATGTTATTAGTGAAGGGGTCATCCGTCGAACACATTTGACCTGAAGCTCTTGGAGAGCCTAGCTAATTCCCCTGAATTGAGGGACATACCTCAAATATCCCTGCTGCAGCTGGCATCTATGGGTTAAAGCCATACCTTCTCATTCCGTTAAGCTGCATAAGACCCAGGGAGCCCACCTGACTTCTCCAACCCTAAACCCCTAAACCCCCAAACCCCTAAACCCATCAACCCCCTAACCCCTAAACGCCTAAAACCCCCTAAACCCCTAAACCCCTAAATCCGAAA